CGTAGGCGTAGGTGAGTAAGTCTGTATGTAACCGTGAATGTATGGATGTAGGTGTACATATGTACGTATGTATGCATGGACGCATGTATGTGTGTGTATATTGTTTTACACACATACACATCGATGCACAAGTTGTGTCGTTATTATGCATTTATGTGTTAGTTCCTTCCTCATGTTTTACTACTGGCATACGGCATGAGTGCAAAACGCGATGCGCATCGTGTGGTTTCACATGTCGCTGTTCGGACGTGGTTATTGGTATGTATATAGTATCCCGAATCAAGTTCTTGCGACGTGGCCAGAGCACCGAGCAGAAGGCAACCTGGCCAATCCCGCGGGCTGGATGTCCGACCAATGTGTTGTGTATTCAGCCACTAAGCCATCATTAAGCCTTCACTTTTAAACACCTTCTAGTCACTCTGGTCAGTTTTGGTATTGTTCTCTTACTCTCGGCTCCCAGCAGCAGACACTGAATCTGGACGTCCATGAGGCATGGGCCGGCAGATGGGCTCGAACCAAGCGCTGCCGGCTTTATTGGAACAAGCTTCCCGCAGAGTAGGCAGGTGCCGGATTCAAAAGTAGGTGCAGCACCGTTTGGCAGGTCCGAAAAGCGGAGCCTTTGTTTGTTCAACAGGAAGGACAGAGACCACCGTAGCCGTTTCAAGTCAAGGCATCTTGGAACAGCGCACATCCGGAACTAGGAACAAAAGATGGGATTCGCCGCCGTCGCACTTGTCCTCGGATGCGCTTACGGATTGCCCTCTGAAGACCTGGGCAAACCGCACAAGTGGGTCCCCGCGGAGCAGTGCACCTTCGTGAATCCCCCGAGGGTGAGTTCTGCCAAATCACAAATCACGAGCTAGCGCCCTCTGCCCCTGCACGACCGTAACCTCCGTTCCCACAAACTCTCTCAGAATAGCCTCAGGGCCTCTAAGCAGTCCCGACAGATGTTCACATATTTAAGTGGCTGCAGAAGATGATCCCCACCTCACGCATGCACTTCTTATTCCCGAAGGTTCCGTACTACTGGGACGAGAAGTGTGCTGTTGAGTCTTTGGGCTGTTGGGCAGCAACTCGGCAGTTGTTTGGGCCATTACTGGATTGTTATGTCTGGGCACCTTCAGGTCCAAAGTTTTCATAGGCCCTAGACCGTGGATCCTATGCTCTACAACCCAAGTCTTATGAAAAAGGCCTCATCCGTATGGGTTCGAGCACAAGAAACTACAAGTCTCCAGGACTGCTGATGATGACCAACACAGTAGTCTCCTGCTGGTCTATGTTGACTATAGCCGGTATGTATGACTGATTTAATGATGACGGTGATGATGATGGTGGTGCGACGCTGGTTGGCGTCGCTGTTGTTGCGGGCATCGTTGCCGATGGTGAACATGATGAATCACAGGATCGGATCCTAAGTATGGGGAACCTTGATATGAGGACCCTCCCAACAGGACCCCTATTATGGGCAAGGTAAAGAAGGCAGCTTTGTGACTGTGGAAAGTTTTTGAGCCTTTATAACTTCGCAGGACGAGAGGTTCTAAACACCAAATCCTTAGCAAATCAGAACGCTGCAGAGCCTTTCTACCCGCCACGCACAGGATGGAGTTCACCCTCAGTGCCGATTTTGTGGGGAGGCTCCCTGGCATGGGCTTGGAAGCCTTTCCATTCGACTTGAAAACGGGTTACTTTCTCTACATACACGAAAGCGAAGACGACTGAGGCTCCATACACAGGGCTGAAATGCCCTGAGGATGCTATTGTTCCGAATCGCCGAGCCTGCGCTTTCGATAATCCACCGATTGTTCCCTTCTATTGGGAGCCGACATGTGAGGATGGCATGTTGGGATGCTTCGCGGATGGACACAACTTGGGATGCAGGTATTGTGGCCACGGGATCTATGAAAACGTAACTTGCCCAACATCTGTGTGCAGCTTTGTCAACGAGCCCGTGACACCGTACTACTGGGATACCTTGCGCCTTGGATGTTGCGAAGAGACGTGTTTCCTCAAACAGAGACACTATGTAGATGTGCTGGGTATGTGTGTCTGAACCTATATATCTATATATACACGCATGTACATGCACATGTTGCTATTTCCGGTACATACACCTACACCATATATGTACATGTGTATATATATGTACATAAGGACATGTATGTACATACCTGCTTGCGTATGTATGCAGGCAGCTACGCTGCGTGTATGTATGCATGTATGCATGTACGTATGTACCCGTATAGTATGTACATACCTGCTTGCGTATGTATGCAAGCAGCTACGCTGCGTGTATGTATGCATGCATGCATGTACGTATGTACCCGCATATGCATGCATGCATGCATGCATTCATGTATGTATGCATCAACACATGTATGGATTGATGGATGATAGATCGATGCACGGATGATCTTTGAGTTCATATAGATATCTCGACCGATAGACAGGAAGGTAGAAGATAGTTGCCAGGTCGTCCGGCAAAGGCCAAGACAGAGATGATGATGTGAAGCACCAGTAGCCAAGGTGTCAGATGGGCATGCTGGGATGCAATGCAGATGGGATCCATGTCCAATGCCGGTTTTGTGACTTCCAGCCTTTCAACGCCATTCAGTGCCCTGAAACTGCCCGGCCAACCTACGAAGATGGGGAATGCTGGTTCCCGATGGGCACGGCTCAGACTCACAAGTGGAACCCGCGATGCCAGTGGGGCATTCTGGGTTCTTCGGTCGCAGGATTCAGCATCGTTCTATCTTTTTGCGGGAGCTTGACGAAGAGTCGACTTGAACTCTGCTGGAGCCGAATAGGATATGCTCGCATACCTTGCCTTACGACCTGCTGATGCCTAATTTCGAGGGTCGCCACCTTGGGTAGCAACATGCACTAATGAATGATCATGTTGACGGTGATCGTGATGGTGGCGAGGACGGTCAGTGAGAATTTTATAGGAAGCCATGATCATTATCACGAAGGTTCTTGTGGCCAGGTCTTTGTGGTGTTGGGAGCTCCTGAACCCTAAAACCCGAACCCTAAAATCCTACGCCCTAAACCCTATAAGCACGTTGTCAGTTCTTTTGGGCGACACACTATAGGGGCCTAAATAATTGCTCATACTATTTTGGGGGGTTCCTTATTATAATGATAGTATAATGCCCCCCCCCCCCCCAAACCCTATTCTAAGTAGTTAAGGCCCCTATATTATTGCTCTGCCAAGGCTGTTGGGCCGATGGTGTCCACAGGCAGTGCCAGTACTGCGGCCCCGGATCTGACGGAGCTTTGGTTTTCGAAAAAATCGAAGAGGCTTTATAAGACTTAAGGGCCTTCATGAGAGGGTTTCATAGGGAAATTATAAGACGGGCCTTTATGATAGGGCTTCATAGGGAATTTGCGAGGGTTTCATATATGGTTTCAAGTTTCTACTTCTCTCAGAGTTTTCTATGCATCAGACGGGGGTAACAGGTCCGGTTCTCTGCCTTCAGAGTTGTATAGGTCAAGATTCGCTACCGATCTGCCTCGTCGGGACGGAAAGAATATACGTGAGGAGACATGGTATTTGCGACATTTTTCCACGTAAACTCTGGCAGTTAGATAAGCGATATACTCCCAAAGACTTGTCAGAGTTGCTGAGGAATCTATGCTGGCATCTCTTGTGATGATGACGACGATGACGACGATGACGATGACGACGATGACGATGACGACGAAGACGATGATCGTCGTCTACGTGATCACGAGGGTAAGGCCCAAAAGGGGAGCTCTGTGTCTCAGCTGCAGACACCGTTGCCGTTCAAAGAGGAAGTTTCCTGAACGGTGGTGCTTAAGAAACGGCGGCGGTGGGCTTCGGATTCGGGCTTCGCGGCTCCGGGTTTACGGCCAGTTTAGATCCCTCTGCCGCTAGTGTGGCCTCAGTCACCACTTCTGACCGAGTAGAGTAAGAGATTCAGTGGGACATACTATAGAGACCTTAATACTCACCTATACTATTTTGGGGGTTCCTCATTCTAATTGTTCTATTTGTAGTATACAGAGCTCTAATACAAAAGGCCCCAAAACTACAGGGCGCCGAGCTCGCATGCCCAGGTGGTCTTCCCGTGAGTCGCTCCGGTGACTCTGTAATGCTCATTCCAATCTTGGAAAGGGCTCGGGAGCCCTCTACGGAAAAGGCTTCGGAAGTCTTTAAAAGACTCCAGGCCAAATGCTGCCCGAGTCCTTTTCAGGATCTTTTGGGGTTCTACAGAGTCCCCCCCCATGTCCCACGGTGGTACTCTTTACAGTAATTTGATTCAGATGGCTGCACGAATGTGCCCACGAAGACTGAGCCCAGCTGGAATTCAAAGATGCCGAAAGCATCATTGCTTTTAGGTACAGCCTTTGGGGCCCTTCCAGCCACGCACAAAGCGTGGGCAACCGACCACACGTGTTGAGAAGGGGCGTGCACCTTTTGTCTGCAATCGTCACTGTGAGCCAGTTGGGCGCATGGGAAAATGGAACGAATTGACCCTTTGCAACATAGACTCTGTAGTCAGCGTTCTCAACCAGGTTCGTTCTTGAACTCCTCAGTGGTCGGACAGTGTATACATTATGACACCATGCTTCTTCAACAGACCATTCAGCCAGTCTATGCTGAGCTGGAAACATGCTGATTCAAGCCATCATGACAAACCTGGCACTGCCAAATGTAGCGTAGGGCTAACGTTCGCATGCATGCAACACCACTGCCACTGGAGATACGGAGGCTGCCCTGCATGTCTTTCTCAACTTGTGACCCTGCTGTAGACTGTGCAGTGCACAAGCCGCATGCCAGGCTGGAATGATGGGTGGCATGGGCACTCCCGCCATGACTTGAAGTTGAACTGCAGCGACAGCGGTCCTGTTGTTTGCATGTTGGTCGCTTGCACTGGACCGGAGCTTGAGCCCGCTCGTGATTGCGACACATGCACTCGGCAAAAGTTTGCAGCTTTGGCCGTGAAATACCATTCACTACTCCAAACGACTCCAAAGCCATGTCAGGTACATCCATGTCGTCTCGAATGGGCGAGCAGCACCAGCCGCAGCAGACCTCCGTCTTTGCGAAAATGCAGGGAATGGGCACTGGGATGCATGGTGGAATGGGCAACATGGGCAGCAACATGGGCGCCATGGGAGGCAGCATGGGGATGGCCCGCAAGATGGGCAAAGGCGGCATGGGCGGGATGAACAACATGAACAGCATGAACAACATGGGTGGTGGCATGATGAACAGTGGGATGGGCGGTATGGGCGGCGGCATGGGTGGCGGCATGTGTGGCCAAGGAATGCAAGGCATGGGTGGCATGGGCATGGCGCAGGGCAACGAGAAGGGGAAGATGGGCTCCGGCGGAATGTGCGGCATGACCATGGGAGCCATGGGCCAAAAGGGCATGGGGAAGCCCATGGGCTGCAAAGGCGACTCCAATGGTTGCGGTGCACAAGGCACACTAGCAGCCTCCTCATTTTTCGATGCGTCTTGAGTCATCGCACTTCACCCAAGCGATGCAAGATTTAGCCCACAAGAACCGAGAATCCCGCCCTCTCGGATCCCTGAGAGGTCGGCCGCCTATAGGTGGCAGCATGGTCCAGCGGCCACCGGTGATGATGCTAAGAGCATCCTCCTCAGACGATGTGCCAATGCCAAGGCTTTGGTGGGGGATGGCTTTAACTGTGGCGGACCAATGCTCCTCCGTTTGATACCAGTAGCTGCAGTGCAGTCGGACTTCAACCTCCCACTTCTCAGAACACATCGCGAGCCCATGACAAGTTTGGATTCCATTAGTAGCAGATGCCCCATGCTCTCTGAGGGCACCACACCCGCGCAGCGGATGCAGATGCAGCAGGCACAGCAGCAGGAGCGCTTGATGCAGGCACCATCCCAAGCTTTCCAGCAAAAAGAAGGGGCCTCGTAAAACGCTCTATAGTATACTGTATACTAACTATTGCGTTTACTTCTACCAACTGCTCGAACTACTGCACCCACAATCATGCCCAGAACTCCACAAAGTTAGTAAAACCAATTTTGAACCCCCCAAATGCCCACATGCCCCTCACCTTTTTGAACTGAAATAGACTCGATAATATAGAGGCCTCAATATTTAGACTATGGTTTTGGGGTAATTACATTATACTATTGTACTATCTATAATAAGAACTCGCGAAATAGTATTATTACTTCTTTAGGCCCCTACGTCAAACCGCCAGACTCAGGGCGGCGGCTTCTGCGGAGGCGCGCAGAATTTCGGCACCTCACCGGGCTTCGGCCAAGCCGGGGCTTTCCGTGGTCGGCCACCAGTCCCCGGGCACCACTGTGAAGTAATAAAGGGTTTAGAATTACCTAGGGTTCCCTTTAAAGGAATCCTTAAAGGGGTCCATAAGGGATCTAGAACTCTACAGTAGGGGCTTCAATAATTATCTGTACTATGTTGGGGGCTCCTTATTATAATTATAGTATTTTGGGCTCCAAAACCCTATGTTAAGGCTCCTACATTAGGGTCCGGCTGCGGGGGTGTAGGCCTGAGGGATTCAGGGCCTTAGGGGTGTGGGGTTTTGGGGTTGAGGGTTGACGACTGCACATTTTTAGAGCTACGATACTACTGCGGATCATCTGCTTAATTATCTAGAGATCTCTCTCTCTCTCGACTGGTATCCATCTATCTATCTATCTATCTGTTGATCTGTCTCAATATATGTTTTTTGTTTTCTCGCTCCCTCTCACATCTCACTCCCTAACTGGCCTAGCTATGTATCTATCTGCCTATATGTATATATCTAGAAGCTAGCTAGCTATCCATCTGGCTAGCTGTCGACCTACCTGTCTAACTATCTGTCCATGTATCTTTCCACCTATATGTCTATCTATCGATCCATCTGTCGATCTATGTATCAGTCTTTCTTTCTACCCATACACGTACCTACAAGTCTACAAGACTCAAAGACAGCAATGTATGTTGCAGGTAACCGTAACTGGGTTCCCAGGCTAAGATGTTCGGGGTTCTGGCCAGGATGAAGCTCAAAGTGGCTGTCTGGAAGATGCAAGGATTTCGTACATAAGCCATTGCTGACGCCTGGCTAAGCATTGAAGTGAGCCCAGCAAATCGCAAAACTTCTCTGACAAACTATGCCAGAGCCTGCCTAGGCTGCAATACGGCCTTCAACGGCTCCTGGAATGGGAGCTGCCGGTCTAGGCGAGGAAACCTCCGGGCTTCTGAAAATGTTGAGGTGCGTGTATGCTTCCAGCACTTACCGCACGACTATACGTCCATACACATGCAGTGCATGATCATCATGAATCATGCAGGAAAGGAATTGGTATGTTGTGTTCGTTCTACTTCGTAGGCGTTTTCTAATTCTCACGAAGGAGTTTCTCGAAGTGCTGCGGTCTTAACGGTTGGGTCGCAAGCAAGAGCAATCGTGAAGCATTGCGAGATACCGCCAACTGCCTATCTTTCAGGATGAGAAGTTCCGAGAGGTAGAAGTACCGGGGATATTACCGCCTTTCCTACTTTGCATGCAGTTCATGGAGCCTGTTGTTATAAGTAAAGGGCTGAGCTTCATGGTCTGTGCGCAGGTGGCCGAGGGCCTCAACGAAGCTTCGTAGGAGTTTCGGACCTGAAGCTGACTGTCAACCGATCCATCATACGTGTAGCGGAGCACTCCAAAACTCGAAACCTGCAACCACTGTGGCCCCCAAGACCCAGGCACGAAAAGCCTCCAAGACGAAACACTCTATCTCCTAGCCCAAACCATATCCACCAAAGCCCGGGAGAACTGCCCAAAAAAAGCAACGGTGCATCACAGCCCTTCGGCCCTGAAGCTATCCACAATCCCGCCTTAGGCGGCAACGCCGGTGGCCCCAAGTTCCCTCCGGCGCTGCAGTCCTGGCTGCAGCGGCTCTTTGCCCAGCAAGGCTCGGGATTTTGTTAGGGTAGGGGTGGGGATACAACCAGAGTTTGATGAAACCATGCATCATCCCCATGGGCTTGAGCAGTGAAGAAAAGAGCTGCTGAACGAAGCAGTTGACCGTTACTTGAGCGTCCCAGAAGCAGACATTGAGACGACTACCGTGGCTTATGTGTGGACCCGCATATTCTTTGCAGCGGTCACAATTCCTAAGCGATCGTTGGCACCGGGAATGCCAGGCAACTCAGACACCAATTTGCAAAAGGAGACCCACGTCCTCGGCTCAGCGCGTTCTACTGAGGCGGAGACACAGAAAGAGAGGCAGGAATCCAAACATAGACCGACGGAGTCAAAGACAAAAGGACCGGAAGACCAAAAGAGGAAGACGCGCCGAATCTTTGGAGCACATGGGCTGGCAATCACGTAGGCTCGTGTTGGGCAACGCTCCAAGTGGCATTCTGCTACTATATCTGTCTATCTATCTACATGTGTCTCTACCTATCTATCTATCTGTCAGCCTGTCTATCGACCTATCTATCTGTCTACCTATCTGCCTCTCTGTCCTGTCTATCCATCTGTCCATCTACCTGTCAGTGTATCTATCTAGCTAGGTTTGTCTGTGTGTCTGTCTGTCTGTCTGTCTGTCCGTCTCGCTGTCAATCCGTCTATCTATCTGTCTATCTAGCCAGGTGCACAACCCTGCCCCCTGACTGTGCACTGCATGCTCAGGCATACCTGCGATACTGGGTGCAGCACTGGAACAAGACGGTGCCATCCGTCGTGTGTCAAGAGATCTTGTGCGCTGGACATCTTTGTGCAGACGTGATGGGGCAAGGGTGAATACTGCTGTTCCAGGTTCCGGGTGCTAGTTAGAGTCCCTAGCTCCAGCCCAAGTGCAGGGAGAGCTGTGGCAGCGCAATTGGGAAGCCGCGTCCTCAGAGACATCCGAGAGTCCGACTGACAAGCCTTGCAACTTGGTTTTACAGGCGGTTTAAGCCCCTACCATCTGTGTTGTGGAGAAACGCCGTCCTAGCCGTACCTGTTCGGATTCTTGTCATTCCTCCTTTTGCGACTTGCTTTAGCGCTTCTTCAGGCTGCGACGCTGCCATCCGTCGAGGAGATCAAGCTGCTCTGCGGCATAGAGACAGTGTGTTAGCCCGCTGCATAACCTTCCTATGTAATAGTATATAGCAGTAGGTGATCAGTGGGTAAGACTACGAAATAGTGTCGGTGTCCAAACTTTGAAGCGTGTTCGTCAAGTGGCAGGCGGGCGCAGCTATTGCACAGGTATTTGGGTAAGCAGTTGGTGGCTTATAAGGCCATGGAGTTCAGTTGGAAACCGAGACCCTTCCCGGAAACTCTCAGATACGCCGAAATGGGCCAGTTCCGATCCGAAGTGCCGCAAGCTCTTGGCCCTCTTGTGCAAGCCGCAAAAGACACTGGCCGTGGCCGATGGCCAAAACCAGCTTTGCTGGCCTCTCAAGGAAGGTTGCTGCGCACCTGCGCAGATCGCCGGGAGCAGCCATTTAGTCAAAGTCTAGCAAGAACGGAAAATTTAGCTTATGTGTCCCCTCAGCTCTCCCTGGTTCTCCAGCTCGATACTTCAAGTAGAGATGGCTGCTTCGTGTTGTAGCTCTTCCAAGACTAGTCTCAGGCGGGTCCTCCAGGTCCAAAAGTGCCTTTGCCGAGGCGGAAGCTGCCTCCCGGTAGCCTCAGCGGGCAAGGCGCCCCTGCTTTCGACGTTCCCGAAGTTGGAAGCCTCAAGGAGGCCCTAAACTTTGGACAAATGCATATGGCCCATCGTTTAAGCCCCAGTTACCCGAACCAGAATGTCAGGTCAATTCGGGAGTCAGCTCGTCGAAGTAGTTGCTGTCGGAGCAGCGACGAGGATGAGCGCGTTCGGGGGTGACAGTGGCATGGGAGAGGATACTGTAGTCATGAGGACGAGGATGGTGCAATTACTTTGCATTCCGGAGTCTCAGGTGCCTCAGCGGGCAGCTCACAGGCCCAGCTTGGGGAGGAATTTTCTCTGCGGCTCTCGCAGTCGAGTCGCTGATGCTCTTTGGGGTTCTAATCTGTCGCGCCTTGCCCACTCAGGGTTCGACACATCATTCGTTCAAACTTGGGCACCCTAAGTCGCGAAGGCCAATACACTTGTCCAGCCCTACATGTAGAGGCACCTGTGACGATGCTACCAATATTCATCATAGCTTTCTCGTGTCGACAGATTGCGTGAGCATGACGGGAATTTCAGACAGTGCCGCCGTTGAGCCAGAGGGCTCCAGGTTAAAGACAGCTCGGGGTCTTGGTACTGACGGGCTCACCGAGGCGTAAAGGTGTGCTTGGCATGTGAAAACTCTATCCTCCACCATCAATTCTAATTAACACCTTAAACCCTAGGAATGATGCGAGATTGGCCCGACTGAAAAGGAAACCCTGCACTTCCAATCCCTGGGCATTGAGAAGTCATGGCGGGTACAGGGATCAGTTGCCGAGCGCTGTGTGCTTATCGTGTTAAGCATGCAAAAATCATCTGCCGGTGCTGCCACTGATTGTTGCAAATTACTTTCAATGCTCCCCACCCAACCGAGGTGTTCGTGAGGCCCCAAGGTTTCTCTAGAGTAGATTGTAAACCCTAAACCTTAAACCCCCAAATCCTAAACCCTAAACCCCTAAATCCTAGACCCTAAGCCTTAATACTCGGCGTGGCCGTTGGAACCGAGGCCGAAGCTCGGAAGCCTCTTGGGCAATGCTTTCCTTCAGGGAGTCTAGCATAAGGGCCTTAATAATTAGAGTAGGGTCTTGGGGTATATTCTACTGTAGTTATGAAAAGGAACACCCGAAATAGTACTGATCATTATTTAGGCCCCTATATATTGTTTCCACTCAGGGACTTGCCACGAAAGAGCATTGCCATGGCGAGAGAGGATCACTGTTGTTAGATTTGGGAGTTTCAAAAAATGAGGGACCCTAATCTAGTACCCTAAATAGTAGACCCCTAATTTTCGGAAACTCCCATTTGAATATTGTTTTTTGCGGGGGGGAGGCCTGGCCGCAGCAAGAGGCGGGCTCCGGTGAGGCCTGTGTGCACCTGGGCCCGGCGTCGCCCGTGATTTGCGGACCGGTGCTTCAGAATTGAGGTTTTTTGAGAAGGCTTCAGGGGTGAGGGTTGCACAACTATTCGAGGTCCGCTTTGGTAACTCTAATCTGTTGCACTCACACCCAGAATCTGATTCGAAGGTTTTCACAAGAATGCTTCAACCCGCGCCCGAGATGCATAGCAAAGCCCACCAGGCCTGACCCCACCAATTATACACATGTTGCCAAAAACGACAACAAGGGTCATAGACAATTGTGCAGACATGTCTTCGTGTGTGTATACGCAATATATGTACATGTGTAAACCTACACGTGTCTGTTTGTGTTTTTCGGTGTGAGGCTGTAGGAAACGGAGTGTGCTCACATTTAACCTCCGCTGAATTCAAGCTAGGTGATGGTTTGCCTTGTCCCTTCGCAACCAAGCCCGTATATATCAAGAATGGAATTCACTACATCTGGCTAAGTTTTTCAAACTGATGAGATCGGTTCAGCTTGTGTTGTGCAAGGAATCTGTGCGATTGTTGACGCCGCACGTCAGGGTCCGCAGGACTCTTCGTAGCTTTCGAGGGTTGTGTGAGTTTCCGATTTCCTTATTCATGAATGCGTGTCCGTTGCGTTCCTCTGCAGGCTCGAAACGGGCCGCACTTATTCAAGACAGAAGCACACAGGGCAATTCCAGGTCAGGCAGAGCTGCTGCGTCACATGTCGACCTCATCCTTCCGTCGGTCTAAGAAAACCAACTCCGGACCATGCTAAGTGGTTTCAATCGAATTATATGCTGGCATGTCAACTGTGGCCTGTGCCTGACGTAATACGTCGAGAATTGACAGGAGGGCTTCGAGTGACCGCCTACGGTTCTTAACTCCGTCAGCACGAAGAGACAGAACTAGCCGGACTGCTGACTTATAGTGCATACAGAGGATCGACTAGATGTGGATATGTACGCGGTGCGTGTTTCGATGTCAATGTATAGATAATCGAGGAGCCAGCACAATAGTCTTCATTGGCAAACCGCACTGCGTCGGGACACCCCCGTGCGTCGCCGAGTCGCACACCCATCTTTCGCCATGCCGGTGCCCAGAGGCCTTAAAGGTCCGGAGGCAGGGCTCCTGCGGTTCGTGGGATCCATGAAAAACGGGTGCATCTGCAGGAACCTCCGCTTTGCAATCATAGAGGTGTTTCAGTTTCTGAGGGTTTCTTTGGGACAGTCGTTTCTCGCGTGTGGTGTTGCAATGTTTCTCGTCGGGGTCGCAGTCCATTGGCGGTTGAGGGGAATCGCTAGTTTAGTTGTCTTGGTCTGGCATGCAAGCTAAAACGACAAGGGGGGTGTTGTTTCCGAGTGTGACGTCCAGGGCCTGGACCTCTGCAATTGTCCTTTCGAAGAGTACCTCACTGCTATGCCATGCTGGTACTGCGGCTTCCAGCACGTATATAAAGGACATGTTCAACAGAAGGAGCTCAGGAACGTCTCTCTATACTCGTCCAGACTCAACTCGACGTTCTCCCGGCAGGCAAACGAAGATGACTGTGCAAAAGATGCAGCGGCTTTCGCCAATGTGGACATGCTTGCAGATTTTGCGGGTCCTGAAGTGGAGGTGCAGCTGATCCAAAGGCCTGGGCCGGGGTCATCTGCGGTAAACACAGGAGCAAGGGTTCATCGTTCTTCCTTCTATGCCGTGCAGCAGGATACCAAACAGATGTGCCCAACAGCCCTACAGAATCTACCCCAGACGAGCCCCAAACCTGATAGCACAAGCTGCACTGTATACTGGGTCTTCACTACGGCAAGGCCTCAACATGCCTCAACAAGCGGCCCAAGAAGGCTTGAGCAGAAGCCTCAAGAGATCCCAATTGGAATAAGCCCTCAAGCCTTATGACCCTCAACTGATAAATCACGCATGACTTTGACACTCATCAACTCGAAACCTTCACATAAATCCTAGAAGCCCTAAATTCCATGAACCCAGAGATCCCAAATTAAAAAGGTGTATACAACCCAGAAGCCACAAAGCACCAAAAGCATCCAAAACACTCTGCCCCCGCATAAGCCCATAAGCCCTTTACCCCCAAAGATCCTACACATCCTAAGCTCTATCCTTGAAAGCCCAATAAACTCAGAACCACCAACCCGGAAAACCTCCAAAAATGCACAATTCCGAACCTTTAAAGCTTCACCTAGGTCCTAAACCTAAACCCTGGGAGCCCCTTGAACCTAAGCCCTAAACCCTCAAGACCCGCTAAATCCTAAACCGTAAAGACGAAAAGCCCCGTCCGGCCCCAGAACCCTAAACCCTTACTGTATATAGCACTAAACTAAACCCTAGACCCTCTATACGAAACGAAACCTGAAACTCAAACTCAACCGAAGCCCCAAACCCTGAAAAAGAGCCCTTTAATACTAAGAATACCAATAATAATACCAATAGTACCAACAATCATATTAGTAATACCAACAACATATATATATATATATATATATACACTAATAATGCCTTATATAACCCTACAGGTTCGAGGCAATGCTCGCCAGACGGGATGAGGAGCTCTTCAGGCGCCTGGACAAGGCCGTGCGCAGCTTCGTGGTCCTCTCCTCAGAGGTGTTGCCTTTTTTTTTTGGGGGGGGGGGGGGGATTGGCTTTCCCAGGTATTTGTTTAGGGTTTAGGGTTTTGTTTTTGAATTTTTGTTGAGTCGTTGTAGGGGGGGCGTTGGGGATTTCGAGTTTACAAGGGCGTTTCTAAGCCCGACTTGCAGGCCGCGGGCTTGAGATTGGACTTCTCGGGTCGACACTCTTCGTTATCCAATGTATCTCGCAGAGTCAGGCTCAAACATCTTTCCTGCTCAGTGGATTTTGCCCTGTTGCTTTGCAACACTCTGCCATTGCTAGTGGCTGTGCTAGTCTTCGTTGAGATTAGCCCATCAAGCCGTTTGCTGCAGCAGCCCCACCTGTGATCACAGCTGCCGAGTCCATGGAGCTTGTTGTCGGAATTGCTGGGTCTATCTGGGAGAAAACTACGGTGATAGCCTCGTCTGGTACTGCAGAGCAGCGTATCAGCGCAGGAGTTGCGTTGCTAACCCTAGTTGCCGGCGTATATCATTTCCTGCAAGGCATCCTTATGCCCTCGGCCTGTGCCGACATGTGCCTGCAACCCTGGTTCATGGCTTGTGCAGGGCTCTGGATGACGGGCTCAGCACTGCTCTTCCTTTACGACGAAATGCTCGGCTTCCCGTTCATGGCGGCATCAATGGGCGGTGCGGCTGCCACAGCTCTTCTGAGCCCGCAGAAGCCGGGTGTTATTGTGGCGACGAGCTGCTTGGCCGCGCAGGCCTACACCACGAAGCTCCCGCAGGACCCGTCCTACATCGCCGTGAGTGTCGCCATGTTTCTCTTTGCGGTGCTAGCTAGGCAGTTTTTGGATTGCAGTGATTACTCGCAGGTTCAGAAGAAGGACTGAGGGTCCACAGAAACTCGAGTGCGACGCTGTCGAAGAAAAATGTCAGCGCCTCTGCTTTGCCTGTTGAAGTGCATTGTCCAAACTGCTCCCAGGATCCCAAAGCTCAACATCGCACAAGCCGAATTCTTGAGTTGTTCCATGCCTCGAGGCGACGCCCGATGCTTTGACCTACGAACACTCTCCCCTTGCTAATCACGGCGACGACAATGTCTGGGCCCCACGTCCAGTGAGATGTCATGTCTTTTGCATGGCCAGCTTCTGCGAGCAAGTGTATCTCCGAACATGACCCCTCGCGTCGGGAATGTCGGAACCTCGCAGCCGTGCATCATAGCCTCAGCAGTACGGAATCTCGCAGAGCTCTCTTCGAGCTTGTCAGCGGAGACTCCGACACCCTCCGCACATCACTACCATGATTAGTCATTGCTACTCGAGATACGAAATCGGCCAGAGATGGCCCTACATCGGAACCCAACATGAGCTCCATGTAAACATGGTTCATCCACCCTGCTGGAACTGGGCTGCTAGTGTTTTATAAAACACGACGAGCTCCATGTAAACATGCCCTCTGCCATGAGGTCAATGCTCCGATAAGGAGCAAGGCGCTGGTCGAGTCTAGAGTGCCTTCGGCGGGGCAGCAGCAGAACCAGAATACATTAGAACATACAAAAGTACATTACATATATATATATATATATATATCGCATCATAACATATTTTAATATAGTATATTGTGGTGCCTTATAAGATTCGTAAATGAGCACGAACACAGTGCTACTTGTAGTGTTCATGTGGCTCATGCGCATATAATATGACGGAAGTGTGTGGGGACTAAAAACGAGAGCACAAGAGTTAATCAAACTGGAGCTGCACATGTCCGAACAGTACTCTCATAGTAATTGTAGTAATTATAGTAATTATACTAATTATAGTAATTATGGTAATATGGTAATTATAGTAACTATATATAGTAATTACAACGTCATGAGGCTCGTAAGGCCCCCAAGAGATGAGGGTTTCTCGCATGTAGGGGTCACTGTTTGGGTCGAAACTCCGGCGGCCGCATCAGATTGCAAGAGGCTTGCGCACTGACAGCTTTCTGTTTGCAGTCCTCAGTTCTATGCAAGCGGAACTACTGGAACTACATGCGAAACTCGTGGGAAACGACATTCTTGCGGCATCATTCCGTTTGCAAAGCAGAAGCCGGTCTTGTTTTTGCTCGTCAAACATCAAAGGTACGCGCGCTTGCTGCAAAGACGAGGCAGCTGGAAGTGGACCTGGACATATTCTCCGCGCCTTCACCGAAGCTTTGTGACGGCTCTTTCCAGGCATAGCAGGCTAAACTTATCTTGGATCATGATAACTTGCTTGTGAGACGACAGCTCCATCGCCGCATTCTATCGCCAGGGTACCGACACACCCATGCCTTGCCGTGCTTCGCTCGGCGCCCCTAAAAACCAGGGCATTTTGAAGATCCGATCGCATCACCAGTCGACCTGATGGGTGGAGGTAGCTGCCCAGGTATGTTCACTCCACGTTCCCGTATGCCCCTGAGTTTCGAGCAACTAGTGTAAGGTTTCTCAACAGCAAGCTGGAAGCTCGAAGTCCACCTCAACGCCACAACCTCAAAATTCCACAACTCAACGCCACACCCTGCAATACCTCACAGCCCTGTGTCCAAGCTTAACGAGGAAGACAACGAGACCAACGAGAGTAACGAGCCGGAAGAAGACGCGAGTCGAGGCTTAGCTTGTTTACTTCTTTCCCAAAGGGTCCAAGTAATGGTATACCTGGACCCTAAGGAACCTACCTTTTTTAGGGTTCCCTAATATGATTTCTTTATATAAGTCCTCAAAAGGTAGGTTACGTGGGGTTAAGGTAGGATATACTTTGGGGGCCAAAATACCTACTATAATGGTACTTGGACCCTGTGGGTTTGGCACCCGCATTTGGGGTTTTGGGCGTACGGTTCAGCGTCGGGGTTTTCGGAGGTTGAAGGTTTAGGAAATAGACTCTAGAAGGAAAGGCGAGTACCTGACCTGACTTTAACTGGAGGCCCATCTGACGAACCGCAGATTGCACTCTACTTGTCTTGATTGCCTCGGGTCGAAGTTGTTTCTGCAGTTATGAAAGTCCAGGTCCTTCAGCTTGAAACCCTGTGCTTCGCCAGAAGCGATTTAAGCTGACGTGGCCGGTGTAGATGGAAGACTTTGGCCTTCGAGGGTTAGCTGTGGCCTGGTGCGATTTTTGCTGTAGAAGTTTGGGGAGAAAATGAGTCGCTAGTTTCATGTACAAGCCTTGATGACGATGCCCAGATGCGCAGCAGTGACAGCGCCTTGGGGAAGACATGCAGCCTAAGGTAGCAGAAGACGTTCCACTCGCAGCACTACCAGATTCGGCAGCTCCTTGACCGTTTGGATTTGCTGGAACAACAAGACAACCATCATCCACAGGAGCAGCCGCATCAGAAACAATGGCAAATACAACTCCGACGCGGCACTGGTCGCTGATATGCTCTCCTGTTCGTTTCCCCAACTACCTTGTGAAAGTGTTGCACGTCATGCCCACTGTGGTACCGTCGTGTTCTAGCATCACTCAAACTAGCATGACGATGAAGCATTGTCATCCCATCGCTTGTTGTCAAGATGGACTTAGTCAGTGAACTTGAGGTGTGCAAGTCTAGCACTATTAACTATTATGCAAGGCAGATCATTAGTCATAAGTGATATTTTTAACAGCGTTTTCGCACCTGCTAGTGCCTGGCTTCTGCTTTCGCAGCAATTTTGATATTAATGTTCTGTACTTCTGTCCGCACCACAGCAAAATTCATCTCACGATGCAGGAAGCAGTATCAGCAGCAGCAGCAGCAGCAGCGGCAACAAAAAGCAACGCCACCAACGACGGCCTACGCCTCCTCCTCCTACCACTACTTCTCCTACTGAGTACTACTGCTCCTACCGCTACTACTCCTACTACTCCTCCTGCCACAACACTGCTACTACTCCTACTACTGCTACTAATTACGACTGCCACAGCGACTGCTACTGCTATTGCTACTGCCACCCTCTAACTACTTCTACCGCTTCTGCTATTGCTACTGCTACTGCTACCTACTCGTGCTGCTGCTCTTGCTGCGGCTCCTGCTGCTGCTTCCACTTCTCTTTCTGCTGCTGCTGAGGCTACTACTGGTGCTGCTGGTAGTAGTAGTAGTAGTAGTAGCAGCAGCAGCAGGAGTAGTAGTAGTAGTAGTAGTAGTAGTAGTAGTAGGCCAGGCAGGTATTGCTGCAGCACAACAACTGACGAAGATGCTCTTTCGCCAGAACAGCGTGAGTATACCCATAAGCAAAATTAGCAGCAGTCAGTGATGCTAGGAGTGTTAGAAAAAGCTGCAATAACTCGTACTCACAACAGTGGTAATGGTAGCAAGTATTTGTCACTGCAGGCTGCAATCAGCAGCATTATCATGACCATCATGGTTCTCCTCCTCTACTAGTACCAGTTGTGCCAAGATGGCACGGTAGTATTGCTCCATAGGTCGGCGCACATTGAGAGAAGGACTTGGAACTGACCCGTGCAGGACAAGCCCTACACCCTAAAGCGTTTTAATGCCCCCTCCACCAAAGACCAAAACCGAAACCCTGGTTTCAGCAAAAGGATGCCAGCACTACCTTGTGAAGAACGTTGTGGGCAGCTGTTGGTTCGAGAGCTTCTTCATGGTATTTTGGCTCTGTTGGGATTTTCGGCGCTTGAGAGCTTCGGGCGAGGATGGTGGAGGGAGTTTTGGCGCGCTTCAGGCATGATGATAGTGGATCACATACGCTGCGAGGGAGAATTCCAGATCCTTCTCAGGATCAGCTTTGTTTCAAACGCCTGGCCAATTCGCGGGATTGATACCTTCAGGGCCATGCGACTCTGTATTCACGCTTCCAAAGTTCGGCGGGTGACTGCAGGCGGGGACGGTCACATTGGATGTTACAGGAAAGTTTCACGACAACTATGCCTCCAGGCTGCTGACTATATCTTGACACGCATAAACATCCTGCGGCCCTCAACCCTCGAGACATGACAGTCCAAAACTCTCAGGCCCACACTCCTAAGCCTAACACACATCTGAATTGGCCTCAAGGTGGGCATCCTATTTCACGCCCTCGTCCTTGGGGTCCAAATAGCCGCTGGACAAAGACTGAATCTGACGTACTCGTAGGGGCTGTCGGGTTTAGGGTTGGGGGTCAGGCTGCTTCAGGAAGTGGGGTTGTTCAATTTGGTCTAGAAGTGCATACCGGGCAATCGTCGTACACCAGGAGGCCCTAGAAGCATGATCGTGGCCAGAAACAGTATCGTGATGAATGTTTTATGTAGCGGCGGCAATGCCAATAATGGTTTGGTAGTCGCAGTGGCAGTGACAGCAGTAGCCGTAGCCGCGGCCATAGCATCAGCTAAAGTACCATTTCAACTACCAGTGCCACTACGACTACTACAACTGCACCGACAGCAGCAGCAGCAGCGACAGCGACAAAACCAAGAATATCACCAACAATAGCGGCAGTGACAGCAGCAAGTGACAACAGCAGCAACAACAACAACTACTACTGCTACTACTACTACTACTACTACTACAACTTCTGCTACTACTCCTGTTTCCCCTGCTGCTGCTTTTGTAGTAGCCATCGCAGCAGCAGCAGTAGTAGGAGTAGTAGAAGTGGTAGTAGCAGCAGCAGTCGTAGTAATACAGCAGCAGTAGCAGAAGCAGTAGCAGTAGCAGTAGCAGTAGCAGGATCAGCAGCAGCAGCAGTGGCAGTAGCAGGAGCATGAGCAGGAGCAGTAGCAGCAGTAGCAGAAGCAGAGGCAGAGGCAGAACCAGAAGTAGAAGCAGTAGCCGTAGCAGCAGCAGTAGCAGTAGCTGTAGCAGCAGCAGCAGCAGCACTAGCAGCAGTGGCAGTAGCAGTAGTAGTAGCAGTAGCAGTAGCAGTAGCAGTAGGAGCATGGGCGTAGGAGTAGGAGGTGTAGGAGGAGTAGCAGTAACAAGAATAGTAAGAGTAGAAGGAGTAGTAGGTAGTAGTAGTAGTAGTAGTAGTAGTAGTAGTAGTAGTAGTAGTAGTAGTAGTAGTAGTAGTAGTAGTAGTAGTAGTAGTAGTAGTAGTAGTAGTAGTAGTAGTAGTAGTAGTAGTAGTAGTAGTAGTAGTAGTAGTACCAGTAGTAGTAGTAGTAGTAGTAGTAGTAGTAGTAGTAGTAGTAGTAGTAGTAGTAGTAGTAGTAGTAGTAGTAGTAGTAGTAGTCGGAGAAGTAGCAGGACTAGTCGGATAGTCGGATAGTCGGAGTAGTAGTAGTAGTAGTAGTCGTCGTCGTCGTCGTCGTCGTCGTAGTCGTAGTAGTAGTAGTAGCAGTACTAGTAGTAGTAGTAGTAGTAGTAGTAGTAGTAGTAGTAGTAGAAGTAGTCCGAGTAGTCGTCGTCGTAGTAGTAGTAGTAGTAGTAGTAATATTAGTAGTAGTTGCTGTAGTAGAAGAAGAAGTAGGAGTGGGAGTAGCAGTAGCAGTGGCAGTGAGAGTGGGAGTGGGAGTAGGAGTAGGAGTACGGTAGGAGTAGTAGTTTAGTTGAACTTAGTGGTCTTGTGGTCGACATCAACCCATCCTTGAGTTTTGAGTACTCAGTATAGTACGACCCCGACAGAGAGAAGGTGTTCCCACAGGAGCAGTACTAGCAGCTGCATATCGTGATTACTATCGTGGAATCCACAGTTTGGAGCGACCGAGGATCTAGCAACCTGGGACAACCCTGACACCGATGCTGTCATGATCCTGGAGCTTTGGTGTGCGATGTATCTTTTTCACCGTCCGGCGTCCTGTTGCAGATTGCAGGGAGGGTGAAGTCATCCGCAGCAAGGGAGTTATTTTGAGGTGAGTTTTCCTCAGAGAAGCTCTTCTGAGATGCGTTGCGCTGTGTGAACACATGATTCCCATGACTCTTCAGCCAGCCATCTGGCTTTCATGCTGTGAGGACGGACTGCAACACCTGTGACTTTGCTGTAAACAGAGGACATACCACATGTCATTGATGTTGAGTGGTTCGTTCATGTCAGCCGAACAAGCCGTTTGTCTTCTCGCTTTGGAGAGGCTGTGCTTATAACAACGGGAACATTGGAAGCTTAAGTGCTTGATCAGTTTTGGTTCAGTGTAAGGGCTTTTACATAGCAGAATGGTGAGAGAAATGTGGCTTCATGTAAAGAACCTTTAGAGACTTTGTGTTCGGGTCAGGGAACGACTTGGTTCGGCCTAGGCCCCAGAAAGGCTGTCAAGAAGAAAGCGCTTGCACTGCAAAACAGCCGAAGTACTTCAGATCCGGATCGTGATAAGTTTTATGCCCGATCGGCGTCCCGGGCTCGACTTCAACAAGCTCATACCTCATAGCATGACGAGTGCGTGAGTTCTGGTGAATGACGTGCTGTACCACGTGGACACCTATACCAGGACCTCGGTCAACTGTACCCTCCAGAAAGCTCGCGCCACCCCCAGGTTTGCAGTGACTTTTACAGCAGAGCTTGCAGTGAGGCTGGGCCGTGACAGCCTAGACGTTCAGTTCTGTCTGGCTTCCGTGTTGAATTTGAGACATCATGGCAATCATGGCAACATCAAGGAATCAAGAGAGCTGAGGGCACTTTCGCCGGACTTTCGCACTTTGCATGCGTGTGTGTGTGTGTGCGCGCGTGCGCCGGAGCGCCAGTGTTCCGTCAATGAAGCGCACCGACAGCACTAATGTCAAACATGTAGCTAATGACTGTGTAGTGCAGGAAATAATACTGATGCTCAGATTGTAAAGACTGGCACAGCACTAGTGGATCCATGCAGGTGGATGGCTGAGGGCCGATACTTTCTGTGGCGGTCCAACAACGTTGTCTGGAATTGGCTAGATACCTTCTTGGTGGCTTGTCTGAACGAGGCGTTCGAGGAAAAGTGTCAGGTTCAGTGGGAAGTGATCAGCTTCTAGTGCGCAGAAGCCCCTGTTTTCTGGTGTTTACTTGGGATGTGTTCGGGTTTTTGTTTGTTTGTGTGTCTCTATCTCAATCTCTTTCTCTCTATAAAACGGGTCACCATATGTACATCTGGTACTTACGGTTGTGCCTATATCTGCATGCATACAGTCTATTGATGTATTCATCCAGCCATCCATCTGTGCATGATGTCTGTACACGTACTATTCCTAGCAGTTGGAGCTTGTGACATCTTGTCTAAGAAAGTTTGCGTGCCAATATGGTACTGACATTGATGGGTGTCAGGACGTCGTGAAAACATATTGGTGCGTGGGTCATGTGTTTCCTCAAACCGTCAGGTTTGCGGACCATGCAAAACATGAGCTTGTTAGCTGGTTGCGATACGGGGCTTGTGCGTTTTGCACAAATTCAGGCCCAGTTGCGGTGTGCATCGCTGTTCCGGTAAGTCCTTGCCACAACTTATAATCAGACAACTGGCACGCCGATACCAACTGGGCCTAGATTTTTGCAGGACCCAGAACCCCAATATCATATTCAGCTAGCAAGCTGATATTTTGCATGGTTTCCAATCCTGAAAGCAAAGTCGTTTTTGAAAAAAGCAGTTGCAGCAGGGACCGTCCTTCGTCCGGACATTCACCGTGCGATGATATGGCGTTGTGTATTGTTGTATCATGTTGCAAGCTATTCTGTGCTCCATTACCTTCTGCTGTTTTATTCTACGTCGTGACAGTACAGTGTAGTGTAGGGTATTTTATCGGAGATTGTGGCTTCATTGTGTAGTGTATCGTCCATTGTAAGTTACATCGGGTTCTATGACGTTGTGTTATGTTATTTTCTGTGGTGTCATGGTTTACTGGCTGTGTACCTTGTAACATACTGTTATATTGTGACATGTTACCTGTGAGTTTATACTCTGCTGTTTTGATATGATACAGTATTCGAATGCTGTATTCTATTTAGCGTTTCTTATACTTATGTTTGCTGCTTTACTCTATGTTGTGCCACGATACATCATGTTTTGTTATACTGGTAGACCATGTTGTACTGTATCATATAACCCGATATTCTATGATGTTATGCTATATAATAGTTCATAGTTATACCAAATCGTATGATACGAAGTGCTATGAGGTATCATAGCATATGAATACATGTTGACTGTACTTGGCTACATTCTGCTGTAAACTACATTGCATTCTGTACTACATATGCCGCTATACGACGCTATATTACTTCCCACTCCAGTTTGCTACGCCCTTTTACAATACGTCATGTTGTTTTAGGTGGTTCCTGTGCTTTATGTTCCAAAAAGCAATGTCATGTTTGGGTGACTCAGCGTATGCCACATAACGTTAGATCGAACTTTACTTTGATAGTGCTGCTCTATCTTCCACTATACTTGTGATTCATGTTGCAATATCTTATGTCATGCACCACACTGTATCTCTCTCCTCATGGTAGCATCTGATACCATGCTCTACAACAGCAAACCTCAATTTGGTGTATTCTAGCACTTCGTATTATATCATATGGGTCTGTCTGTTTTTTTTTTTGGGGGGGGGGGGGTTGAATTTGTAGTCTTGGAGGAGTGTTGGCCTTGAGCGAAACATGCCCCAAAGCATAGCCTGAAACATACCACGAAACATACCCCGAAACACACACCTGAAACATACCTCCGTGTTGTCCCAATCGTTTGGATGAAGTTAGCAGCGAGCGAAGGTTTAGAGTAGCTCAACACAGGTCAGCAAAGGTTTCCCGTAACAAACCCGTAGCATACCATCGCATATCACAATATTGAGTAAGCTCCTGTATCAACCTGCAAGACAGTATACTAAAGCATAAAGCTGAAACACAGCATGCTAAAACACGGCGTAATGTAAGATAATGTAGCGTAGCTTAAGGGGGGATCCGGTAAGACAAGACAAGATAAGTTAATATCAGATTATGTAGAAGCGAGCTGTTATGGTTTATTCCATCCTTCCCGTTTTATGTGATTTTTGGTTCGTAGTAGAGCATTCTTGCTCCAAGCTCGATGATCGTCATTCGTAGCAGTAGTAGTTGCCGTGATAGCAGTAGTAGCAGTGGCAGTAGTAGGAGTAGTAGTAGTAGTAGTAGAAGTAGTAGAAGTAGTAGAAGTAGTAGTAGTAGTAGTAGTAGTAGTAGTAGTAGTAGTAGTAGTAGTAGTAGTAGTAGTAGTAGTAGTAGTAGTAGTAGTAGTAGAGTGCTACTTGTCATTTCATGGTTTTGGAACCACTGTCAAGAAATTGACTACTCCGATGTGGTAGTCTATATTCTGCAGTTCATAGTCTTGTGAAGAAGTGTAGATGTTGTTCCAGTCCATTTAGGTTCCATCTGTCTACACAAGGAGTATTCTACGAGATTCTCTGGTGCTGTTCTACACGCGCTGTCATGTGCAACTATATCCCGTTTGGCTTTAAGTTCTCAGCAGGAGCATGGGGTGACCATGTGAATGGAGATAAGCTGCTGCATATGTTTGTTTCATTGCAGTCGGGGGGGTCTCTTGCTGCTTATGATATGCACTTAAGAACATGTGTACTGCGCACACACGCACACACCGTGTAGGGGTCTTGTAGAAATGTGGTCCAGCAGAGGTACGTATACATGCACGCACAGAGATCAAGCTGTTTATACATTTACACAGTGTCATGTGGCTGCTTGGATGTCGTTTGATCTGTTACTGGTAGCCTACCCAGGTGGTGACCTCCCTTGTGGAAATCGCAGGGGAGATCTCCGTGGCTATTTCAGGCGCGGGGCAGGCTGCTAGAAAGATTCCAAGTGTTTCGTGCCATGGAACCTGAAGCCTCTTAGCTTCGTCATGTCACCTATTCACTAAAAGGTGGATCGCAAGCTGCCGCCGACCTAAGCTCGATCGGCAACATGCGGGTCCCTGGCTCTGCGGGCGGATGCCGTTCAGGGTTTTGAGTTTTGCCGACTGCGGTGTTTCAGAGGAGGAGGTTCTGTTGGCCTTTGAGAGAAAATAAACTGCAAGTGTCGCTAAGTAACTACAATCAAGTCAATCTCACATAGGAGCCATGAGCCATCATGGATTTCAAGATGGGTGAAAGCCAGTGAAAGCTGACAAAGCATGTTGCCATTTTTTGTTTTTCGCAGCAAGTTTTACAAAGGTCATCCGCATTGTGCGAATCTCTCGCCTCTTGCGCGTCCTCCGCATCGCCCCTTGGGCTGTCTTAAAAATCTGGTGTTGCGACTATGTTGAGGCTATACGGATCCGATCTTCGACAGCCCCAGAGTCTTGATCCAGTTGGGACCAAATTTGTTGGGCAGAAAGTCCATGTAATGGCACTAATATGCAATAGGTCGGAAGCAATCACGAGCCGAGTCGTAATCGTAAGCAGTGGCATCCGGGCATGAAGGATATTCGCATGTGACCACACTAAGACGAGCACTACTACTGCTGCTGAGCACTTCCGCTGGTACTGTGACGACTCATGGCGCTACCACCACGACTACTGATGTTGCCGCTGTTGCTCCGACCGAAAGCGAATGCTATGTACCACTTCTAGTAACTGGAGAAACCATGAAAGCAAGGCTGGAACAGCAGCGATAGCCATCTTCGAAGCTAGCAACCATGAGAGCAATGGTCAGGCTATGAGGCAGGCATCAAATGACCGCGACAGTTATGTAAACTTATAGTTACAAACAGATGCTTTAACAGCAATGCTACAGGTACGAGCGATACTAGTACCACGAGTAGTTTGAATAATACTGCAATGATGCAAATAAGACTTCCAGTGCTAATCAAGCGAATGGTTCCAAATAGTATACTACTCAGAATACTCGTAGTAGTATCAACGGGACGATCTTTGCTTAGAGCAGCAGTTCTCCGCGCGATATGAGCCATCGCTGCAGCAGGAGTGCCAGCAGTACAGTGATATCTTACTCTGCACCAACATATTCACCACAGCGTTCTTGAGGAGATTGTAGCGGTGTGGCAGTCTACCGACATTCACTTCGGGCAGAATCTCCACACCGTTAGGTCTTGACTTTATGTGGAAGGTTTTCTTATACACAAACAGAGAGCAGCAAACAGAGAGAATAACGCATTGTTTATTGGTGACATCTCAGGGTGCATCCACAGGGCTCGCCAGACCAGTTGCAGCACCGTTGGAATTAGATGTGTTTAATCCGGTTGCTTCGTAACTCTTATACTCTTTTGATTTATCGAATACTTGGTTAGATATTCTCGCTTCGCATGCATGTTGCTGCAAGTCAGTGGAACAAGATCCTGTTGTCTTCTCCGCACAGCGTGATGGCCTGTATGTTGCCCCAGGTACGCGTTTTACGATTCGTGCGCTCTTTGCGAAACCTTGCTGCTCGGCCAAAGAGGTCGTACTTCCCGGGTGTCAGTTTGAGAAATGGTTGCAGCTTCTGAGTCTTGACAAGCTGAACTCTCCCACGCCTGGTTAAGGTCAGTTCTATTGCCATGACCTTCCGCTCCTTAGCTTGGCAACTCGGCACACATCATCTTCAGAGTTTCGAATCTCGGCACTGTATGCAGCAATTGCTGGCATAGTGTTTTGTCCCCATTCTGGCGAAGTTGCCGCAGGATCCTGAAATCCCGTCTGAGCAGCCCGGACAGCCCTTCGTTGCTGTTCCTGTCGTTGGGCAAAGGTTCTTGGGTATTGAGCGCAGGAATGTGGACAACTGTATTCCTTCCACTGGACAAGGTCTCTAGTAATGAAGCATAGTGGTCGTGGTATTTGTTTCGTCTGACTTGAACAGTTGCCAAGGCGAAGCCGCACTAGAAGCCAGTGTTTGTGATCCTGACCTGACATAAGAGCTGCCAAGCTGAGCAGCAGGAACCAACAACTATATGGTATATATGTACATACACAAATGTATAACACACAAAATCTATCGCGCATACGTATACGTATATATATATATATACATACATACAAGTGACCTGAAGTCTTTGTCCGACATGCAGAGTTCGGCCTTCCCGCGTGCCCACAATTGCTAGATTGAAAAGCTTCCGCGCATCTCGGAGTCCTTTCGGTTTGGACATTCTTCCTATCGCTTCAGACACCTGCAGCTTGGTGAAGTTTCTTGCAGGATCCTGAGGCATCTGGTCCAAGCCTTCAGTGGCACACGTTCGAAAGGACTGTTGCTTGTTGCTTCGGGGCTGAACCTTTAGGGTAAGAAAAGTCGGGCCAACCTTAATCCTGGATGGTCCTGAGGTCCGTTGTCCTCCTGGTGATCATCATCTACATGTTTGGAGTTCTCTTGACGGATGGCGTCACAGAATTTTTGAACAACGAGGAAGGCGGGAAAAAGATCGGGCTTGAGCTCGTTGAATTCTAGGCTGGTTCAGGTCTTAGCCGTTGAAGAATAAGAAGAACAGCATCGCTTGGTGCACCTGGAAGGCATTGACACGATGCTGGAGAGGGATTTGAGGATGTACTTCGGATCGGTCCATGGCGTCGCAAGCTCAGCATCCCCAACTGGGATGAACCGTCGACTGCTGGAGCACATGCATGGCTCTAAGCATGGGTTTACATCTATGTGTTTGCATCTGTATATACATATATACATACATACACATATATATATATATATATATATATATGTATCTGTGTGTGTGTCTGACCGTGTATGTACATATCCAGAATTTCCGGAATTTCCGAAATTTCCGAAATTTCCAAAAAGTCCGCCATTATCTTTTGGAAAAATCCTGTCCACTAGGTTGGGCCGTTCTGGAAATTTTGAAAATTTTGGAAATTTCGGAAATTTTGGAAATTTTGAAATTTCGGAATTTTTGAAAATTTTAGAATTTTTTGATTTTTTTGAAGTTTTGGATTTTTTTTGAATTTCTGGACCTCTTGGAATTGATTCTCAGGAGGGCTGATTGTGACCCATCCGACGACAGACCATGCACCTACGACTCACTTGCAAAGGCAAGGGCTGTCAATACTCATGCCCATATTTAGACGAATATCTCTCTATAAATCTATCTATCTATCTATATATACATATATGTATTGATACTCCTACATATAATATTGCCATTGCTAATACTGACGTTGATCATTTGTTGAATGCTCAAGCTAATACCAGCATTACTACTAATATTACATTTTTATAAAGCCTAGTACGAATATGCATGACACAAATACTAATATTGAGTAGTATTGCTATTAGTACTCCTACGCATATCAATATCATATTCATATTAATACCAATGCTAACATACACCTGTATGTACTAATGTACATAAATATGCATACCACTATATTAAAATACAAATCCTTCAACTCATTCATGTATTCAACTGTTAACATTTTCACGTGATCCAGAGTAATACTAACACAATCATTCTTGCGAATGTAGATCATCATTAATATCATAGTACTAAAGCTAACACTACTGCTAAGACTTAACACAATATATTTATACTAACACCAATATTTACATAGCTGTTGATACTCCTACGAATACGAATACGTACACTCTTGTGCGTTAACAGTAGTGCTATCACCAACACTAATACGGACTTTGATAAACTGCTGAATATTCAAGAATGCCACTAGTATTACTAGCATGAACACTCATATTATGGCTAATACGAGTATAAAAAGTCCTAATTCTAGCAATATTGACATGAATACTCCTACGAATACCATTAGTATATTCATATTGATATGAAACTAATATCATTACTAATAGACACCTGCATATACTAATGTACATAAAATACATACCACTATCTTAAGATACAGATATGTACATTAGTGCATTCATGTATTAATGCTTTGGCATAGGCATATACCCATTTACCAATGTAACAATATACTTCTCGTTGTTGTATGACTAATATGTGACTATACTAATATACGACTACTGCAATATGCAAGAATACCGACATGACAAGTTCGTATAGTAATATGCCAACATACTGATATACTTATAAATGATTTGACAATACATGAATATAGTACACATACTAGTATACTAATATGCTAACGTACGAATATACTGGTATGTAAAGATACTAGTAACCGAATACACCTATATACTAGTGTATGCATGCACCAGTTGTACTAACATGTAAAATATATTAGTATACAAGTATGCAAATATTTTACTGTGCGAATACATTGATGTATTGATATACGAATCAGCTAGTATACGAGACTATCATCATACTAACATATCAAAACTAGCTAGTTCTAATATTGATACTAATACTAGCACTTCTGCGAATATAAGCTGCTATTAAACCCAGCATTAAGACCGATACTGATACTACTCGTAGCAGTGGTGCTGTATTACTGACATTGACACTGGCACTAGCGCTAACTCTAACACGAACATGAGCACTAACACTAATTTGTAGTTGGCAATATTGATATGTATACTTACAGCAAACAATAGCACTAATATTAATAAGAAGACTCACCCTAATACCGATACTACCACAAAACTATTACGTAACTTATGTGCTGCACGTCTGGTGCATGCGTCCTCAGTACATGGCATGTCAAAGTATACGTTGTATATCTACTTAAAGGTCTTACTTTACAGATTATCGTCGGGTGTGGTGTGTTTAGATACAATATCTCAGCCGAGTCATCTGCCAAGAGTACAGTGTCACAAGGCCGTGGTCTGTCAACGGGGGGGGCGAGCATATATATATATATATATATACATATCCACATATATGTTTGTACACCCATGCATACATGCATATATGCATTCATCATAGAATATATAGACACAGACATACATAGGCAGGTGCATGTATACACCCGTACTTCTGCACATGCATACAGACAGACGGACAGACAGGCAGGCAGGCAGGCAGACATACATTCTCTCATGTATGCACACATGCGTGTACACAAGCACAATTACATACATTGCTGTATACCTACTTTGTACATGCACACATGCACACACACACACACACACGCACACGCACACGCACACGCACACGCACACGCACACGCACACGCACACGCACACGCACACGCACGCACGCATGCGCACACAGCCGTCTTGCAGATAGAGCGGTGCATGGCTGGATGAGTACATGTGGACAAGCGCCGAGTGTAAACAAAGAGCGATACAAGTATACAGAGGCAGATAGCTGAACGGATGGATGGATAGATGGAGAGATGGAAACATGTAGAGAGAGAGAGAGAGAGAGAGAGAGAGAGAGAGCGAAAGAGAGAGAAGAGAGAGGAGAGAGGAGAGAGAGAGGAGTGAGAGAGGAGGGAGAGGAGAGAGAGAGGAGAGAGTGAGCGAGCGAGGGCGGGAGTGAGTGTCTGTGTGTCTGCGTGTGTTTGTCAGCTCAGGCCATGCACACACTGTTCCGGTCCATCGCAAATGGTATCAGCTGGGACGTCGTCGTAAGACCGCTGGTTAAAGCCAGCTGGTTCTGGGGATACTTGGCCCATAGACGAAGCATGGACTAAGCACTACATCCGCAAACCTAGAAAGTATGCCACGGACCCGAAGTAAACGCTGGTTACGTGATTCTTTAGTGTGCTCCGGTGATGGTCCTTGCGGGTTGGGTGCTTTGAGTGGTCCTACTTGTCCCTGACAGCCCAGGATATGTCTACTCTTTGTACATTGCCGCCTCGCAGCATTGGCATGCACTCTATCTCACTACGTTTCCGCTTGCTCTGGGGAGCTCGTCTGCAGGGATTCGGTGACATACTTGCCACCAGCAAAGATGTGAAACCAAGGTGTTTACTCTTTTCGCAGTTCTGAACGTCCTTGACTCAGCTGGCGTGTTCGCACGGCTGCCGTCAGGCAGAAGGTGAGAGATGTTCATCCGGCCTCTCCGGAATCCTGAAAGCAGTACATTTCTGCAAGCTGACAGACTGACAACTGAAACTGCTGCACTTTCATGCCGGCTGTTTCGAGGGTAGTGGTTGATGCAAGGGTGCAGTAACTCCGTAGAGTACATACTGCATCTCACTCCCCCTACGCTCTTCAGATGGCAGACATTCTAGCCCGGTTTCGAGTAGCGCCGTTCGGTGCAGCTCGACGTGTGGAAGCCTTTCGACCGGGACTTTCTCCGGTCGTTGCCGTTCCCGGTCAGCTGTGGAGATGTTGTGATGGACGCCCTTATAAACCCTAAACCCCATCCAAGAGTTTAAGAATCGCTTCTGCGGGCTGCAGCAGGGCTGCGAGGAGCCGTTCACGGGAAGCTTCAGACCTCGGGATTGCTTTGGCCCTTGACGCTTGCACTCCGGTCATCCTGGCGACTGCCAGGCTGCGATCAGAACTGCTTGAGCTCCTTGCGAGATGCATATGCTGTGCATCTTGATCTCGCGACACCCTGCTCGCAGCCTGCGCATTTCCAAATTGATAGGCATGGCTGAGTTTCTCAGCTCTTTTTGTAGTTCTCCGTTTGAGCGTAGCCTATTTGGTTGGCACTCTTCGAAGAGAACCGCTAAACTGGGTTGCTGTGATGGGTCCTTCATTGCATGCTCTTGATGCTTGTTTGCTTCGAGATGGCGCCCTTAAGTTCGGCATCATCACCTGAGTGGGGGGTTTCGTTAATCTTAATTACCTTTGGCCACGACGATGTTGGCAGGTTGCGGCAGGTGGTTTCTGTAGGCTTGAGTGCTTGGGCGTTTTTTTGTTGGACGCAGCCTCTGGGAGGCGTGATGTTGATGCCGTTAATCGCATTGCTGTCGCATGATCGCGGATGTCACCACGCATCTTTCAGCAATCCGATGCTTGCTCTCGCTCTGTTGTTTGCTGCTAATTACTTGGAGCAACTTGGAGCCCTGCTCTTGACGGCCATTTATGATGGCCGCCGGCCTTCTACGGCTTGGATTCTTTCGCATCCTGGCACTGGGGCGCACGTTGCGGGGTTGGGTTGTTTTAGGACAGGATGTCCATGTTGGTGCGTTTCACCGATGACTGCCTGACGATTAAGAGAAGCTCCGGGCAACAGGGCCAGGCTGCTCGGCTTTGCCGCTTGGCTCGGCGTGGCTCGGCTCGCTTTGGACTGGCCGGGCCTTTTCTCCTGGCGTTCGGCTTGGCTTGGCCCCGCTTTGGCACGGCTTGGCTAAATTTGGTGGAGACATCAGAAAGACAGAGGCATCAACCAAGGCAGTCGAAGCCAAGCCGAACCAATATTTAATCCCGAGCCAACTAAGAATCAGAAAACTCGCCAGGGAAAAATTTCATCGTTAGCCATCTGTCTACTGCTTCTCCCCGCTGGTGACTCGTCTTCCTTTCCTTTAACGTTCATGCAGTTCAGGCGTCTGGGCTTCTGCCGGTGCGAGTTTACGTGGACCTTTCCTTGACCCTCCGCTTGTGCTTTGAGTGTTTTCGGGGTATGTGTAACACAGAGTCACGCTTTTTCATTTGCCGTCTTGTTCCCCCTTCATGGAGTGGGCGGCGGCGTTTCGAACGACCACCTTGATGAGGTCATCACGGCTGTGTTCTGTCAAAGCACGCTGGAAGGAGCTGCTCGTGACAAGGACGGACATCAGCGACAAGTCCATGTATAGTGTTAGTTCAGGCTTCAGCTTAATTCTTGATCGATGTATGCGCTGGTGTGGGGGTGGCCTGCCCCTTTACGAAGAAGATTCAAGGGCATGTAGGATGCATGTTTCAGACTACTTCAAAGCTGTGGACCACCCCAACCCTTAGACCCTCAGTTTCTTGACCCGCGATCTGCCATACTGCAGCATGAAGCCATCAATCAAGGAGCTCTTGGCAGAGAGTCACATGCTCAACAAAGAAAGGCGGGCTCGAGCCGATCTGTCAAAGTCACATCGAGTGGTTGCAGGTAGTACTGTAGCGCAGCAGCAGCAGCAGCAGTCGTAGTCGTAGTAGTCCATGTGGCCGTAGTCGATCAAAGGAGCCGCCATAGTCGTCGTGGTCGTCGTGCAATCGAACTTGCGGGACTGAGAACTCGACACAGCAGCCCATGACTTCCTCTGCCGGCGGTTCCGCTAAGGCGGTTGGTGACGAATCATGGTTTGGAAGTATAGAAGGCAGACATGCTAGGCTGCATCTGTAAACGCGACCGCCAGCATCACTCATCCGTGGTGTTAGTAGTGGTATTGCTGGTTACATTGCCTCATTGTTGTTATCATGGTTATGTCTACCTCACCAGCATCGTCGTTGCTGCTGGAATTGCTACTACTATCACTTCGACAGTACTATATCCCTTATGCGTGTATGTGTGTCTCGTATTTGCAGTTGCAGCCTGATGCTGTAAGCTCGGCGATCATTGCAATGGTAAATCGGCAAGCTGCGCAACAATTTACAAGCTCTCCATTGCATATGAAGACCCAACTTCAGGCAAGAATGTGGACATGACTAGCGGGATACATCTCAGGAGGATGGGCCGTGGGATGCCACAATTATGTGTAGCGTTTCATTGAACTACGCCTGACATAGGCCCACAGGAAGAGAGTATGCTGCATCTTGGCTGTGAGTAAATTCCTGGGGAAGCGAGCACTTGGAGGAGATCTGGAGAAGCTATGCAGATCGTTTCCTCTACATGATGTGAAACCAGATGAACATTGCAAGAGGCCCTTAGAAGCAAGGCAGCCTTGCAGCAGCTGAGGATCATGGGTAGGTTCATCGGAAGAGCTATCAAGTCGTAGCTGCCCGTCAGGTACTACCTGCTCGTGGAAGATCTCTTCAAGAACTTACAGTCCGACGAAAGCGGCAAGGCACGCCTCAGCACTCCTAGACCTTGCACTAGGTGCACTGAAGCACTCGAGCTTTGGTGCAGGTAACTTTGGAGGACTTCCAGGACCACTTCAACGATGTAGAAGTGAGAGCGCACGACTCGGCTCGCTGACATTGTTACTAGTATATTGCGGTTTCACGTATTCACCCAGGCTTTCTTCCACGGCCTAGACCTTGAACCAAGCGACGCCTGGGTGCTGCGCTTCGGCCGAAAGTTCAGATTTAGAGAAGACTTACAGTACAGGGTTTTGGAACTTAGTAGCCAGGGCTATAAATAATATATAACTATACCTGTTCATAAAATCCCAGTTAAGGTACGTGTAACCTACTTCTGAAGTCCCCGGATCCTCCAACTATCACAGACAGAATGGGCCAGTCTGGTGACTGAGGCTGCATGGTAGACTCAACTCTAGATTTCATCCAGGTTGTCTTGCGCGCCAGGTTCATCACTGTTGTTTCCAGATGAATTTGTTGCGGATGTGGCCTGCCTGGAAGCAGGGGAATTCGGCGTCTGAAGGTCGCCAATATAGAAGAAGCGGAAGCACAACAGAAGCAAAAACAAAAGTAGTAGCCGAAGATGAAGAAAACTACCGCCTGCGACTCCTGGCGCAGTATTCACTGTTCCTGATGCCTTCTTGTACCTTTGTAAAGAAGCATCGAGACGAGACATGTCAGCATTCGTTTGTGTTGCATTGCTGGGACAGGGAGCCTCTGACGCTTTACAGCACAAGAGCATCAGAAAGTGCTGTTCGCATTAGCTGGTTCTCCGGGCTGGTGAAGGCTTTCTGCTGGTAGTGGCACCGGGGGTTCAGTCTAAAGCTGGCGGTACGCATCCAGGCTTGGTGCATGAAATTGACGTAAGTGAGCACGCATGGTGACGAGCGCATCTATCGGCAGGTCAATGGTCCAGATTTCGAATTAGGGTTTTGACTCGACGGAGACCTGGGTACTGCAGCGAAATCCTGCAGTTGAACTGGTGAGGTTCTCACTCTTAGACGACGACGGAAGTGGAGACATCGACGCGGAGGAGATTTGTGGGATGCATCCGGTACATATATAAGGCCATGTATTTGTGCAGGCCCAAGGCCCCCAAAAGCCCTAAACTCGGCCCGTAGGTTTCGGTCCCTTCTTGGTGCTGTGAAGCCCCAAAGTGAAATCCTGGAGGAGTTCGTCGAGGGTCTTCTCAGACTCAAAGGCCCAGCGCGAGCCATTGATTTAGCGGCGATTGGGAGCGCCTTTGCCAGGATGGAAGTCTTGCGGAGTCGTTTCGGGCTACACGGTTTTGTATTCAGGGTTTTGAGTTCCAGAGACCCGCGAAGTTCACGGCTATGATATGGAGAAATATCGAGAACTAAATTTACATCCTGCCTCCATGATCCGAGCTCAATAGCTGGCATCTCAGCATAATCATCTTCGCTACAACCGCAACTATCCGCATCATCAGCATCACAGCCACCCTCGTGGTCAGCCTTCCCATCATCAAACAGCATCGTCTTCTACGGTGTGGGCATGATCACCAGAAGCACCGGAATGGGTAAAGCATCGCCACCGTCACGTCATCATGAGAGCAGAACACAGTCATCATAAACACCGCCACAAGCATTACTGACTGCTGCTTCTCCACTGCTAGCACCGTCATCGTGATAAGCCATTCCATGCAAAAAAAGGTCTCGAAAACATAATCGTTGCTCCGGCCGCTAGCAGAGCTCACATCCAGGTGTTGACTGGGAGGTCTGAGAAGCTTGGGACCACCTCAAGAGCAGTCTCTTTCCCGTGGACTCCTTTGCTTCCTCTGGTTGCTCTAAAGCAGACGCAATGATGGACCTCGATGTTCTACTCGCCGGCTAAGGAGACTGCAAGTCATGCGTCAAGAGAGTCCACCAGACCGCCAAGCAAATGAAGCGACTGGAGGACGGACCCGATGATCATGAGCAATGGGCAGAGCCCGGTCGGGTCAAGATCTGATTAGGAAGGCTGAAGAAGCTTACCAACTCTACTTTGCTCGAAACATGAGGCGCTCAAGCCCTTGGTGTAGATGCCCACATCACCCGCATCACCACAAGAAACAGACACAGTGAAGGGATGGCGTTTGCAAAGTCTTCACTCTGCGCGTGGCAGCCTGCATTCCCGAGAAGCATCGAGTTTGATGCATGTTTATGCTCATCCTGTCAGCCATCAGGGTCTCCTTTCAAGCTTGCTCCGGATCTACGCCAACGGGCAAGATCTTTGGCTGAAGCTAGACGCGTCTCCGTTCTGAAACGTGGGGTTTCTGCAGCATACAGTCTGAGACCAACAGTTGACGTGTCTCCTGCGGAAGTGCGTTGGGGATGTTCGGACTGCAACGAGGGCAGTGTCTGTAGTTTCGATGTGCAGATGCTATTGAGTCTGGTCTGGTTTAGATTCATCTAGCAGTGTTACCACTCTCTCTTCTTTTTTTTGTACGCCAAGCCGCCTGTGCCCAAGTCCGAACGGGGATTTTCCGTCCTTCCGCTTACCCGACGAATTGTCTGTGCTCTCTCGTTCCGAAAAGCTTAATTAACGAGCTATTCCTCGTCCTGTTGACCTTTTGCCACCCGAAGGCAGCTGACGACCTTGCACCTGTGGCAGCAACCGTCACAGGCTCTTCCGCCTGAGCGGCCGAACATTTTCAGATTTATCACGTTTTGACAACTTGCAGCCCGGCATCCTAAAAGAAGGCTGGCTGGACAATCGTGCTTCTATTAAGCGCGTGCCGCCTGATGTTCTCTTCTGTGACCACATTTAGGTTATATGTTTCGAAGCAGATGGACATGAAGAGCGCAGCAACTAGGGCATGGCGCCATCACAGGAATGTGTGGGCGTCGCATGCTCGGCAATTTGCTTTGCAGTTTCAGCTTGCTGTGAGTTTTTGGCTTTTACCAGTGCTTCTTCAGTAGTGTTATAGTAGTGAGGGTGTTTGACCGCATGTTTCAAAAGCCGGCAAGCGAGCTAGGTGTGAGGTATGCGCAGACTGCGGGCTGCTGCATGTAGCGCTTGTCTCGTATTTATTTTCACGTCTTAGGCCTGGCGCACCATACGAAATTCCCTCCGGACAATCGACCACAAATATTACTAGTGTGTGCTGCCCGGATCTGCAAAGCAGACTCTAACAGCTTCTGCGAGGGCAGTGAGAGCGGGTAATTGTATATTTGTGTCAGACCTCCGGTGCGCAGTGGGTTCGATCTTGTACTCGGGCATGAAATAAAGCAGTAGCTTCAGCTAGCTTGTGCTTCAATTGAGATGCCGCCATGCCTGTGGATACGTCGAGTTTGGGTGCTTGCTCCTAGAAGTGTCATTGCAGGGGAATCATATTATCTGTATCGGAGGCCGAGCAAGACAAAAGCTCAGTGCTTTGTGCGCAACCGGAAGCAACCTCCCTCGCTAGCGCCTGTGTGCGTTTCGGAAAATTGACCCATGAGACGTGTGACGATGATGTTTAGGCTCCTTTCTACACGCGTCCTGGTGACCCGTCTGTTGGGGATAGCATCAATCAAGACTGCAGTACTCAGAATGTCGCATGCATCACAGATACTGCTGTCGTTGTAACGGTGCAGGCTACACTCCTACTGGTACGTGGGCTAGTGGTATTTGTATGACGGCGATAAGAGAAATCGCCGTAGTGTCAGTTGCCATCGTGTTCTTGGAAGTAGTCGGGGGTCAAATGTGGAGGCACAGCAGTAGTGTTGCTGTGTTCTTTCCTTTTCTGAGAACCTCTGCTGGATGCCATGCTTTTTGTGACTCGAAGCTGCGATCATGATGCTTCATAGGCTCGTCTTGCCCCCACCCTTTGAGGTGCATCAAGCACACAAAGCAAAGGACAACGCGCACGTACCCAAACTGCTGGTGTGGCAACCCTTGCCTTGTGGGCCTTGTGCTAAACTCTGAAATCCGACCCATACCTTAACCTACCAAAACCTACTTTTTTGTCGGGTCCCTATATTTTCCATATTAGGTTTATAATAAGGACCTACAAAAAAGTAGGGTTTGGTGGCTTTCAAGGTAGGTTTGTAAACCGAAATCCAAAAGTCTTGGAGGGCTATGGGGCGAGGAGCTTCGAGCGCAGGCCGGGATGCAGCACGATCTCTCGCAGCATGGACTGTGCAGGAGTCCCTAAACCCTAAACCCCTAAACCCTAAACCCCTAAACCCCGAAGCCCTAAACCCTAAATCCCTATAAGCCCTAAACCCGTAAGCCCCTGAACCCCTAAGCCCTAACCCCTAAACCCCTAAGCCCTAAACTCTAAACCCCTAAACCCTAAACCTTGGGACAGGATCTGAGGCCTGGTCGCGTCAGGAAAGCGGAACCTAAGTTAAGTCGATCCGGCTTTACCTCTAGTCTCCACTGTAGTTCTTTTTATTGTTTAACCAAGTATATTTAGGTTCCAAAAAGGCAACCCCCAAAAGGAACCCACCACTTCAGACTATAGGTAGAACTTGAGAATGTAGATCCTTATTTGCGACACGGTTCGAGGTCATGTTCTAGGCGTAATTAGTCCGCCTTATACCATGGAGTCACATAGTGTCCCTTGTTCTCCAAACTGTGCCTCCCCGTCTTGTCTCCAGAAGCAATGTTCTTCCTTTGATTTCGTGGTAATGGCCCTCCAACCTTCAGGTTTCAACATCGTTTGCGTCATTTTGGGTGACGAGTTATTGATTGTGGCCATTCCGCTTGTCGGAAGGCCGCAATCATCTCTAACATTCGCGCACAACTGCCTTATACTTATGTTCTATACATTCCCTGCGCTGCAGCTTGCACGCAACATTCAGAACTGTCAGGACAGGTTCAAAAACCTCGCCGTTCAGATCGAGGATTTGCCTGGATGTCTATCTGGGACGTTTCGCCGATTAGAGCAGAAGCTTGCTTCGAGTTCGCCGAAGCTGGCGAAACGCCGCAGCTGCACCTGTGCTCGTGACGCATCTAATGCACCTTGTACCCTAAACTCCAAGATATTGCCCAAAAACGAGGCCCACGACCTTAGGCCCGAGTCCTCACGATTGTGATCTTAATTGGACCACAGCGAGGAGTCAGCGAAGGAGCCCAACGCGAAGGCGGCGGAGGCTGGGGTGATCACGAGGAACATGCGGCGGTTGTAAGCAAGGGTTCCCGTAGAGTTGGGGATCTTGCCCTCCTGACTCGCCTGTACCACAAGCGTCGGACTGTGGTCTTGATTCAGTCGGGGCGTATCGGTAGGGAATGCCACTCTGAGTGTTGGTGGCTGATGGCTTAGCTGCATTCTTACCTTTGGTTAGTACGGAATGGA